AATGACGAATGACGGGAAACTTAAAAAAAAAAAAAAATCATAGACTAAGCGCCGATGGAAATGGGTTGTTGTTCATCACACACCCACCGAGTCAGTTATGACGCACCTTCTCAGTCCATCACCGGCGGACTCCCGTTTCGCAGGTGACTGACAGAAACAGGCGGCCAGTGTCTTGTGTGTGTTTGTTTGCAAGGGTGACTGGACCGGGATTGCTTCGAGCAAAACCGAGGAGGTGCTCCTTGTCCTTCGACAGGAAAAAAAAAATAGTTTGAACACCACGAGTCAATCCGGTGGCTGTAATAGCTGCTAAATGCTATCTTGGTTGACAGGTCAACAGCTGCATACAAATCAGTCCACTCACCAGATACTCCGACTTCATTGATCCCGATTCTCCAAGGCTGCTCCTTCTTTTGGTCATCCAAAGCTGGCTGTGATGTATGTTATGTACCTTTTGCCGGTTCCACAGATTGCAATGACATTGTCCCTTTGTGGGCTTTTTTCACCAATTACCACATTGTGTGTGTGTGTGTGTGTGTGTGTGTGTGTGTGTGTGTGTGTGTGTGTGTGTGTGTGTGAGAGAGAGTGTCTGAATGTTGTTTTTTTTTTTTTTTTAACTTTAGCTATGTGTCTGCTTGTGCTATGAATGCGTGTGACGTCATAAGTAGGACGTTCTCAAGGCCAACTGGCTGGTGCCAATGCCACTCCGCCAAAGAAGAAGAAAAAAGAGAAGAAGAAAGAAAAAGACAATTTAATGGTCCTAAAATAGGGGCGGCAGGCTGTAATTTAGCAATGACGGAAGCGCATTTAAAATAACGATGACAGAGTGACGGACTGACGATGACAGATTTGCTGGCCTTGAAATAATGACTGACTGATGATGACGGACGGGTGGCTTGGCTGCTGGCGAATGATGAATGATGGAACGGCAAAATTTACTGACGCGCTCACCTAACACGTGATCTGTCATTTTTGTTTGAGTGCATAGGCTATGTTTTTGCATGTGATGCACTGTACAAGTATTAGTGTGCAGGTCATAAAGGCAAGCTCACAAATAGAAATGATGATGAGTATAGGTATTACTGTGTAGATATTGTTTGTGGACCTTTTAGCTCGGGGAAATCCTTGTTTCAACTGTCTTGGCTGGAATGTTGCCTGCAAGGCTCCTTTAAAGTGTTTGGGTCTAAATGCCATGTCTGCTACACCCCATGAAACTGTCTTAATCCACTTTTTCCCCTTGGTTTTATTGCTGCTGGAGAAAGCATGAGGGCTATGGCAGGGCCCCAGCCCGAGGCCTCTATCCCCATTCCACACACCCCATAAGTCAGTCACAGATAATTAAATAGGAGTTATTTACACTCGTTTTCCCTTCTCTGGCTCTCTGGCACTTTTATCATTTCTCTCTCTTTCTCTTTGTAGCGTCCAAAATCCAGACTCTGACAGTGTCTGGCTGACACCAGTGAATGCCTCAAGAAGTATAATCGTTTGGGTGGGGGGGCGGGGGGAGGGGAGAAAAGAAACAGCACTATTATGAGCGCATGTCACTGAACAATCACAAGGATCTACGCACAACGCTAATCTCCACATGTGGCACAAAATGTCTTGGCTTGACCAAGTACGGTGCAAAGATGAGCAGCTTTTCATGCGACAGGCTCGAAGGATTCAACTGCCTCATGTCGGTGTTACACACACACACACACACACACACAC